ATATGAAAAAAAAATTTTATATATAAAAAAATAATAAACATATTTATAATAATAAAGTATATTAACAGCAGAAATTACATCACTTGATGAAAAAAAATTGAAAAACTGTGGTAAATAACAAAATGACGTTTTATGTGCGGTAGTTTAAGGATATTGAACGAAGTTGAAGAACAGTTATTTTACTAATATACTTAAACTGAAAATGATGTTGTTTGAGTGACGCGAGTAAATTACACAAGACATTTTCTCTTTCCATTTAAAATAATTTACTCGAGAAAATGTCTGCTTGGTTGGTGTACACAGTGACTACACTGTGGTTCACTAGACAAGCGATCGGTGTGGACTGACTAAATGCTCACAGGCGAGCAGTCGTGAGCAGCCAAAGTAACTTAAACGTGGATCGCTATGATTGGTGGTCACGCAGGACCATCGTACGCACGCTATTGATTANCTGCTTGGTTGGTGTACACAGTGACTACACTGTGGTTCACTAGACAAGCGATCGGTGTGGACTGACTAAATGCTCACAGGCGAGCAGTCGTGAGCAGCCAAAGTAACTTAAACGTGGATCGCTATGATTGGTGGTCACGCAGGACCATCGTACGCACGCTATTGATTACAAAATACTAATGTTAGTTGCTAGCGCGTGAATATATACATTCTATATAGTTAATGTTTGTAATTCTAATTTGATGTTGAACATACTACCCAGGTTGATGGACAGCAGTCAGTACGAATGTACATCAAAGAAAGAGAAAAATAAATAAAATAAACAAAGTATAACGTATGAATCGAAATTTGAAAATATTAATGTAGACCGCTTGTCTACTTACAACAGCAAACTAACTGAAAGTATGGTAACTGTTCTTAATTTTATAACTAGATTATCCAAGTGCAACTAATAAGACATTAAAACTTTTAATCCAAGTTAATAAATCTCAGAGTTTGTCCTTAACAATATTAATTTATGGATCGGTCTAGTCAGAACAGTAATGGATGTTTTGACCTTTACGACCCTGACTAGGGACCTCTGATCTTTAAAAATTTTAATTATACGACCCAGAGGCCACTTGCCAGGTGGACTCAACTCATTCTTAATAAGGACTAAATCATCTATCTGCATGGATTTTTGGGGCGTAAGCCACTTAGATCGGGCCTGAAGAGTGCTGAGGTACTCTGAGGACCTACAACCTGTATTGGGTTGTGGGTGCTGAGTTACTCTGGGGACCTATTAGTTAGTTGCTAGTGCGCGAATATATAAATTCTATATAGTTAATGTATGTAATACTAGTTTGATGTTGAACAACATAAGTGATATTAATACATATCTTGGTATAAATATTGATTACGATCGTGAAAGTGGTATAATAACATTAGATCAGAAAAGATGTATAGAATTTTTAGCAGAAAAGTATGATGTAATAAACGAAAAATTATATGAAACTCCAATGGAGCAGAACTTAAAATGTGAGCCTGCACGATCAGCATCTGAATTTAAAAACTACAAAAATTTGGTTGGAGCACTTTTATGTATACATAAGCTCAGGAACAAGACCAGATATCAGTTATACCGTAAACGATTTAAGTAGATTCTTAAAATGTTCAAATCAAATTCATTACAAGTATGCATCAAGAATTTTAAAGTATTTGTATTTATCAAAAGATATAAAATTAACGTATAATAGAAATTTCAAAGTAGATATCTTGATTTATTCTGTGGATGCAGACTGGGCAGGTGATGTAGTTAATAGAAAATCAACTACTGGTTTCGTTATAAAGCTGTTTAATAACGTAATACATTGAATTACAAGAAACAAGTAAGTGTAACAAAATCTTTGACAGCAGCTGAGTATGTGGCGTTGTCTGAAAGCGTAAGGAAAATCTTATGGATAAGAGAAATATTTAAAAAATTTCTAAATTATTTTTAATGAACCAATAAATGTTTTTGAAGATAACTATGGTGCGATTAGTATTGTTAAACTTAGTAACTGTACAAAAAACTCGAAATGTATCGAAACACATTTTCACTTTGTAAACGAGAATTGTTCATACAGTGTAATTTATATAGTTAAAGTAAACTCAGAAAATAACGAAGCAGACATTTTTACTAAGGCATTAGGGAGAATTAAATTTTTTAAGTTTAGAAAGGATTTAAGATTGATTTAAAATAAAAAAAATGATTATCTAAAATTTGTAACATGATAAAATTTTAATTTAAGGAGGTGTGTTAGAATATAAGTAAATTTTAAATTACGTGCACGACGCTGTGATGCTAAGGCATTGAGCATGCGTAGAAGCTCTCGATTCACGTGGTTGATACATTTTTGATGACGATACGTACATTAAGTATATAGACAACCGTTGCTGAGAAAAGATGCTTCATGTAATACATAGAGTATTAATATTAATAAATTTATGTCTATTATAGAAGATGTTGTAAAGTATTAATTTCCTCAGGCTTATTTATTTTTAACAGCTGTCATCGTTATAGAAGTTCAGTTAAGTGGAAAAAATTTTCATGTAAGTGATAAGAGTAACGCTTTATAGCGATGGTGAATTGAAGTACTAGAAATAAACTTGAACCAATTAGAGGGCTCTTATAGTATTAATGTATTCTTTTATACGTGGAATACCTCAGGACTTAGGTAAGCTGAGAAATATCTGGCCATCGTTCTCAGTAACACGAATCATACATTGTTCCTAAGCTGTAGAGGGAAACAAACGGATTCAATAATTCTACATTAGACGGATATTGATTTCCACTCTCTTAAAAAAGTGATACTTTAGTAGATGACCTAATAAGTTTACTTTATTTATTAGAGGATCTGAGTATTAAAAGGATTTACTAAATTTTTAATAAATTTAAAAATCAACTATAGGTAAATAATAGTATATGCCAAGTGCTACTTGTAGACGTGAGCACCAGCATCTGGCTGAGTGGTGCAAATAAAAACATTTGGAAAAATATGTTAAGTAGCTTTGTATACTGCTATAAAGAGTTTTTTAAGCTATGTTTATTACGCTGGGCCTGCACTGAGAGAAATATTGGACCAATAGAACTCAAGAGTGAGTGCCATTAGAATTCATAGCAACGCCTAACTCTGTGAGAACGTACTATGTAACTCTGTCAGTTCAATGTTTGTGTTTGTACAACTTGCAGCATCAAGAGTGAGAGAAGTGTATATGTATATGCCGCCTTCCCTCCATCCCTTCTTCTCTCACTCTCTTCAGGCTGCAGAAGACATCAGTGTATGTATATATATACCGATATCTATCAATCTATCATCGAGCTACAAGCCTCAAGATTGTCATGAGAGAGTTCAAACCCTTAGGCTTGTTTGGTCCAACAATTCGAGTTCTTAGAGCTTGGCACTGCATCAAGCTGTACGAACGCAAACATTAAACTGAGAGAGTCTCGTAGTCTCATGGTACGTTCTCACATAGTCTGGCGTTGCTATGAACACATGAGGACGGGTGGACCTAATATAGAAAAAGCGACGGTACGAAAAAACGTAAGATCCTCCACTCTACACGTATTATGAGCAAGGAAGACAGAGAGAGAGAGCTGTCGATTGTGCGCATCTGCACAAGTACGTGTGTATGTATATATAACGACGTGTGTATATTCCTGTTCTCATGTACTGCAATGTATAGTGTGTATAACGATCCACATTACATCTAAATGTACAAATATGTGTATTTATATGTATGTACGTATGTTATAACATGCATATAGATGCATCTATGTATATATGATAGTAACGATATCTTTTATATCCATACGCGTACGTATACACATGCATGCACGAACACACACATATATATATATTATATATATATATATGTAAGTTTGTCGTATTCAACACACACAAACATAGCAGATGCATCTATGTATATATGATAGTAACGATATCTTTTATATCCATACGCGTACGTATACACATGCATGCACGAACACACACATATATATATATATATATATATATATATGTAAGTTTGTCGTATTCAACACACACAAACATAGCTGCTAGTGTGACTCTGTTGTCTGTGTTGTTTATGTAGTCTAGTATTCCGCACTCATTCTTCTATTCAATTGTAGATAACTGCTGTTCATTTTATATAAATGTTTTTGCTCGTCTAATCATTCAGTCTTCTCTTATTGGGTGCTAAGTGTATAACAATATTTAAAGTCTGTACTTTGCCTTACACTACAATTAAATATTGAACTGCCGCAAATTGGGTATCTGCTTACTACTAGAGCTTCTGTTTTATAACTTCACATATGCTTGACATTTATTTATTTATCAAAAAACCAGACGTGTGGCACTCGGAGACTGCCGCGGTAAAGCTACTGCATAGCATTTTTTATCAACTTATACAATCATAACTATTCATTTATTTTTTATTTATGTAGTATTATTTTTTCTTTGATACTTATTTAAGTTTTTTCTTTGATATTAATTCAAGTAAAATTTTTAACGTGGTGACCGATAAGAAAAGTTTTTACAGCTGGTGAAACAGGCAAAGATGGTCAATTTAAATCACCGAAAAGAATGATTAATTAATATTTACAAGAATAAGAAAATTACAAAATTTAATATCATTAAAGATTTATTGTAAAAAAAATGATTGAATGTTTCAAATCTTTTCTTGTTGCCTTACCACAAACATCTTAATCGAACAGTT